TGTATTGTCTATTTCTGATATTCTATTATTAATCGTTTGGAGCTCTTTCTGTAGGTTTTGAATTGTTTCCAATGCTGTATCTATCTTATTTGATTGTTAGTATAGCGCTTTCCTGACTTCTTCCTTATTTTTCTCAGCTCCATTGTATAGTGTTTTGATACATTTTATAACCATTTTTTCTGAATTCCTTCTCCGGCATTTCCAAAGCCTGCCCATCTTCCATTATGGAGTGTAGGTCTTCCAGCTCATTTGCCTCATTTTGTCTCATTTCTAGACATGCACAGATATGGTCATCTGCTTCTGTTTTTTGCGCATATTCAGGGGTTATCTGTGGCCTTAATCCTTAGATGGGTATGTATTTTGGTATTTTTTATGCTTTCTGATTGCCTCCAGGTAGATGTGGTCAGGATAGGGCTTCCCTTTTCACTCTTCTTTTTGAGAAATTTCAGGATGCCACTGTTGGTCGTTTTGATGTAACTTAGGATTTAATTTTTGGCTTATTTCCTTTTTTGTTTGCTTCTCCTCCACAATCCCCATTCAGGCCTTTTTTAAGTTGTAAACAGTTCAGGGCCGGCTGTGGCCATTTGGTTTTGATTGGAAACTGTCTGTTTAAATTTCAAGGAGCTCTGTGTTCATGTGTAGTAGAACCCTCTGAGGGTGGGGCTCGGGTGTCCACTAGCTCAGGCACCCATATAGTCACCAGAATGGGAGATGCTCAGACAGCAAGGGACCAATGAACAGATACCAAAAGAAAAGAATATCCACACCTTTATCTCAGTGGTTCTGCCAGGCGTCTGTGGCTGCTCCAATCCTTTCCTCGCTTGGTCTTACCCAAGATGGCGGCTCCTGGAGCAGCTGAGCATTCCGAACTAGAAAGCAATGGATTTCTTGCTTCTGTCACAAATTACCCCAGCTGTAAGCCTTCCAACCTTCTAAATATTACGTTATATGTGGTTCGGAGTTCTGGGACCATCCCCTGAGTCTGCTTGGTTGGGTATTCTGTGTTGTTGCTGACAGAGAGCCTTACTGCACTTCCACCAGATCCGCCATCTTGTTTGTTCCCCTGTGTTGTAAATTTTTGTGGGAGCTGGAAGCTTCCTCTTTCTTCCACAGAGTGGCAGGTGGGTTTGAACTGCTAACCTAGTGCTTAGGAATCAAATCCTTATCATGTAGAACCACCACACTCTGAAATTGCTATGCTGTTGTTGTTAAGTGCCATTGAGTCAGTTCCCACCTATAGCGACCCTGTAAACACCAAACTTGCGGTTCAAACTAACTTTGCAGTCTAGCGCATAAACCCACAGTGCCACACCAGGAATCCCATAGTAAGAATGGTTAAATTAAAAAGTGAATCAGCTTGTTGGAATGACATAATTCTCATGAAAAACTTTCACCATACCTACTCAACCTGTATGTTGAGCAAATAATCCCAGAAATTGGGTTATATGAAGAAAAACATGGCTTCAGGATTGGAGGAAGACTCATTAACAACCTGCGATATGCAGGTGATATAATCTTGCTTGCTGAAAGTGAAGAAGACTTAAAATATTTACTGACGTAGATCAAAGAGCACAGCCTTCAGTATGGATTGCATCTCCATGTAAAGAAAACAGAGTCCTCACCACTGAACCAGTAAACAACTTTCTTATCAATGGAGAAAAGTTTGAAGATGTCAAGGACTTCATTCTTTTTGGGTCATCTGTCAGCACTCACAAGAAGCAGCAGTCAAGAAATCAAAGGATGCATTGCATTAAGCAAATCTGCTGCACAAGACCTTTTTAAAGTGATGAAGAGCAAAGATGTCAGCTTGAAGACTAAGGTGCGCCTGACCCAAGCCATGGTATTTTCAGTCATCTCATATGCACGTGAAAGCTGGACAGTGAATAAGGAAGACCATAGAAGAATTGATGCTTTCGAGTATGGTGTTAGAAGAGAATATTCTAAGTGCCATGGACTGCCAAAAGAACCAACAGATGTGTGTTGGAAGAACTATAGCCAAAGTGCTCCTTGGAGGCCAGGATGGCCAAACTTCGTCTCTTATATTTCGGACATATTGTCAGGAGGGACCAGTTGCTGGAGAAGGATATCATGTTTGGTAAGGTAGAGGGTCAGAGAAAAAGAGGAAGACCCCCAGAGAGATAGGTTGGCAAAATGGCAGCATCAATGGGCTCAAGCGTGGCAACAATTGTGAGGTTTGCCCAGGGTTGGGCAGTGTTTCATTCTGCTGTGCATAAGGTTGCTCTGAGTTGGAACCGACTTGATGGCACTTAACAACATGGCAAAAAAGATGTTTAAGTTAAGGGAGAACACAAAACCAGAATTACAGTTCTATAGTGTATGCACTGAATGTACACCCAGGAAAATGTAGAGAATTGCTGTGTTGATGTGTGTAATTTTTTAAATGCTGGGGCAATAATCAAACTTTGGGAAAATCTGTATAAAATATGTTTTGTGCCACATTTTCTTATTTAAGTTATTTTTTCAAAATTTTCAAATACATGTATCTTGGTATCTTTATTAAGGACTTGGTTTGCCTCTGTCGTACATTTATGTTTGTGAGAATGCCATATTTTTTTGTTTTCCAGAATAGAAATATACTGTCGAGAGCTAACAGAAAGATTTGAAGATGTTTGGGTAGTATCTGGACCTTTGACCTTACCTCAGACTGGAAGTGATGGAAAGAAAACAGTTAGTTATCAGGTAAGGACACATTTTAACGTTGTCTCATGCTGAAGGAAATTTTAATGTTTCTTAGTCTATATTCTTTTTATTTTCATTTGACAGTATTTATTGGACACCAATTTGGGGTAATAGAGACAAGGAATATAAACCAAAACCAAAGAAACAAGTTGCCATCAAGTCATTTTCCACTTAGTGATCCTGTTGGACAAAATAAAACTGCTGTATAGGGTTTTTTATGTAGTCCTTGTATGGTGCTGCGGGTTAATGCACTGGACTGCAAAGTTGGTCTGAACAACAAGGCCGGAAGTTCAAGCGCACCAGCTGCTCCTCAGAAATCCTATGCAGGGTTGCTATGAGTTAGAACTGACTTGATGGCACTTACCAACAATCGGTTTTCCAAGGTGTTAATCTGTACAGTGATTTGTACTGCCACATCTTTCTCCCGAAGAGCTGCAGGTGGATTTGAACTGCTGACTTTTCAGTTAGCAGCCAGGTATTTCACTGCATCACCAGGGCTCCTTCTACAAGGGATGTTGTTGTTGTTGTTGTTGTTATGTGCCGTGGAGTAGTGATAGATAAAAAGCAGCCATTGATTTCCAGGATTGAGTTCACAGTTCAGAAAGGGAGATATGTTAGCAATCACATTAATAAGTATCGTACATTGTAATACAGATAAATGTTGTTGTTGTTGTTAAGTGCCATTGAGTCGATTCTGTCTCATAAAGACCCTGTATAAGTTTTCCGAGGAGAAGCTGGTGAGCTTGAACCGCTGACCTTGCAGTTCAAACGGCTTTGCAGTCTGGCGCTTTAACCCACAGCGCCCCACTAGAACTCCAGTAGAGATAAATAACATGTATTAAAGGGTGGTACACGAAACAGCCGCTTGTTTGGGTCAGAAAGGCTTAACAGAAGAAGAGAATATTGAGCTAGATATTGGCAGATGTGTCGTAAACTGAGGCAGGAGGTGAGCATGGGAATTCCAGAAGATGGAGCAGAATGAGCTAGGATATTTGTAATGAACATCATGGTTCTGGGATTTATGTATCATGTATAATGATTGGAGCTCATGGTGCCAGAAATAGTATGAGTGGCTTAAGGGGAATAAGAGTTGAACAGCAATATGTACGACAGACAATAGAGATGCATGTTTCGTAATGAAGAGTTAGCTTTTAATATTTAGGCGCTGAGAAGTCATAGATACGTTTTAAACATGGGAGAACTGTGATCTGTTTTGGATTTTAAAGAAAGAATGTTCTGGCAGCACTGTATAAGAGAAGAAGAGAAGTAGCTGAGGAAAGTTTGGAGGGGAGATAAAAAGCACAGTGTGATGAATTAGGACATTACTGCTTTAGTCCCTGTGAGAACAGGTGTGGGGCTGAAACCAAGCAGTTACTGTGAAGATGCATTGAGTAGTACAGGAAAGAGTTCCCGTGAATTAGTAACTTACTTGGTTGAGGAAGATGGAATAGTGCAGGATAACAACCAGATTGCAGAATAGCTTTTCTTTAAGAAGCTTGATTTTTTTTAAAAAAAGAGTAGTTCATAAACCATCCTTTCAGATTGCTTCTTTGCAGAGAAAGAAGTATACCTGAAGGGCCAGTAGGTAGAGAAGACTGAGGATTCTGCCAAGTGGGTGGCTGGAGTGGTACTGTGAGGTCTACACAGGGTAAGGGAGCAAAGTAGTGTGAGGAGAAAGAGATGAGAGAGTCAGTAAAGAGAGGGATTGAAGAACTCCCTGGTAAAGGCAATAAAGGAGATGTAAGGGAAAAGAACACTTAGCTCAGTTCTGGTGATAAAGTAAACATTTAATAATTGCTGACTAGGTCACATGATTACTTGAGAATCTCTTAAAATTGGACAACCTGGGGAATAAATTTAGGGAGGAAAAAAGAGAAATTTAAGGTTGTATTCAGACCACAATGGATGTTTTAAGAGACTCTGAAACTTGCTCTTGAATGTAGAGTAGCTAACGTGAATGGAAGACATGATAAAATAAAAGAGCTGAACAAAAGATTTCAAAGATTTCAAAAACAGTAAAACAAAGTAAAGTACATTAATAATGAAATATGTAAAGACTTGGAGACAGAAACCCAAAAGGGAACAACCTGCTCAGCAATTCTCAAGTTGTAAGAACTGAAATAAAAATTCAAGTTGCAGTAGTGAAGGATTCCATGGGCAAATATTGAACCATACAGGAAGCTTAAAAAAAAAAAACAAAAGAAAAAGGAAGGAATACACAGAAGTCGCTGTACCAAAGAGAATTTGTCTACTTTCAGCTATTTTAGGAGGTAGCATATAATCAACAACTGATGTTACTGAAAAAGAAATCCAAGCTACATTGCAGGCACTGGTGAAAAACATGGCTTCAGGAACTGACAGAATACCAATTGAGATGTTTCAGCAGACAGATGCAGTCCTGGAAGCTCTTATTCGTCTATGCCAAGCCATTTGCAAGAGAGCTACCTGGCAAACCAACTGGAGGAGATCCATATTTGCACCCATTTCCAAGAAAGGTGACACTTACAGAATGCAGAAATTGCAAGCAGTGTCGTTAGTATCACATGCAAATAAGATTTTACTAAAGTTAATTCTTCTATGATCTTCTTTATTCACTGTCCAGCTTTCGCATCCATATGAGGTTATTGAAAACACAATGGCCTGGGTCAGGCGCACCTTAGTCCTCAAGCTGACATCTCTGCTCTTCAATACTTAAAAAAGTTCCTGTGCAGCAGATTTGCCCAATGCAATACGTCGTCTGATCTCTTGACTGTTGCTTCCGTGAGTGTTGATAGTTGATCCAAGAAGGATGAAGTCCTTGACAACCTCAATCTCTTCTCCATTGATAAGAATGTTGTTTATTGATCCAGTGGTGAGGATTTTTGTTTTCTTGACATTGAGATGCAATCCGTACCGAAAGCTGTGCTCTTTGACCTTCATAAGTAAATGTTTCAAGTCCTCTTCACTTTCAGCAAGCAAGGTTGTATCATCAGCATATCGCAGGTTGTTAATGAGTCGTCTTCTACTCCTGACGCCACGTTTTTCTTCATAGAACCCAGTTTCTCGTATTATTTGCTCAGCATACAGGTTGAATAAGTATGGTGAAAGAACACAACCTTGTCGCACACCTTTCCCAATTTTAAAACATTCAGTGTTCCCATGCTCTGTTTGAACAACTGCTTCTTGGTCCAGGTATAGATTTCTCAGAAGTACAGTTAAGTGTTCTGGAATACTCATACTTCTCAATGTTGTCCATAGCTTTTCGTGATCCATATGGTCACAGTAGCACATCAACAGGAAACTGCCAGAAATTCAAGCCAGATTCAGAGGAGGACATAGAATGGAGGATAGCATTGCTAATGTCAGGTAGATCTTGGTTGAAAAGTAGAGAATACCAGAAAACCTGTGTTTTATTGACTATGCAAATATATTCAAGTGTGTGGATCACACTTAAATTATGGATAACTTTGCAAAGAATGGAAATTCTAGAACACTTAATTGTGATTATGTGAAACTGGTACCTAGAGGCAGTTATTTGAACAGAACAGAGGAATGCTCCGTGGTTTAAAATCAGGAAAGGTGTGTGTCCCATTTCACCAAGGTTGCATGGTAACCGTGGCATATAATTCGAGAAGCTGGACCACAGCATTGGGACTAGAGAAACAACTGGCAATATGCAAATGACACAACCTTGCTTGTAGAGGACTTGAAGTATTTAAAGATGAAAATCAAAGACTACAGCCTTCAGTATGGATTGCACGTAAAGAGAATAAAAATCTCACCAGTGGACCTATAAGCAAGATCTTGGTATAACTGTAGAAAATGTTATAAAGTTGTTAATACTTTTCATTTTCCTGGGTCCACAATTAACACCCAGGGAAGCAGCAGCCAAAAAAGCAAACGACATATTACACTGGGCAGATCTGCTGCAAAAGATCTCTTGAAAATGTTACAGAACGACGATGTCACTTTGAAGACTATGAAATATACCATGGACTGCCAGAAGAATGAACAAATCTGTCTTGGAAGAAATACATCCAGAATGTTCCATAGAAGTGAGAGTGCAAGACTTCATCTCATGTACTTTGTTAACAGGAGGGACCAGTCCCTGGAGAAGGACATCACACTAGGTAAAGTAGTGTCAGTAAAAAGAGGAAGCCCCTCAATGAGATGTACTGATGCAGTGATTGCAGCAGTGGTCTCAGGCAGAGCAAGGCTTGTGAGGAAGGCACAGGACCAGGCAATGTTCTCCTCTGTTGTCCATAGAATTGCTGTGAATCTGAGCTGGTTCCATAGCACTGAACATAAGAATGTATAGGGTTTTTCCATGCTCACACTGGCAAATCTTGATCAATTCGGTATATTTACAAGTACTTGTTTCTTGTTACGTGCCGTGTCGGTTCCAACTCAGATTGATCCTGCATAGGGCTTCCCAGGAGTGGCTGGTTGGTTTGAACCATAGATCTCGCAGTTAGCAGTCCAGTGGTTGTTCTTTATTGCCACACCAGGACTCTACCTGCCATGTAGGAGAGGGTGTAAAGAATTATATATGTAAATTACATGCCCTAAGCCACATCTTGGATTACTTTCTTACTTCTTTGCTATATTTCACATGTTGGGAGTCATCTGTCACCCTTAATTTCTTTTGTATCAACTGCCTTTTATCAGTTCTCCTTCTTAGTAACTCTTTACTCGGGTCTTGTGGAAGCTCTGAATATCTGCAGTACTGCAGAGGCCGCCAGTGGCTTTTTCTGCCTTTAGTTTTGTTGACTTCCAGTCACTGTGAAGTCCAGGAAGAGTGACAGAAAAAGTATGTATTTTCACTTTTCTCAGAACCACTGCAAATGAGTACACCAAAAAAGGAACACACACATGCAAAAAGAAAAAACAGAAGGAAATTTCACTTACATTGTAACCAGGGAACGCTTACAATTGCATCAAAGGATTTCAGGTGATATCTGCAAGGTACAGTATAATTTGGAGTAAATTATAAAAGGGTATTAATTTGGTATGTCTTCGCT